GTGCCGCAGCCGGAAATGCGAAATCTATCAGCTTTGCGAATCATCGGGATCATGCAATGAGCCAGGTACCTCAAGGGACACCCTGCGGTGGGTGTGGCTGCCCTGGCCATCCTGGTGGGAGGCTTCAAGCTGATTTCTGGAGGGCCCCTCGCATGCACTTGGGCGTGCACTCATCTGCCACGACAGCTATGTGCACTTTCACTGGCGTCCAGGGACGACGACAAGGAGGAGAAGGCAGAGGAGAAGGCCCCCGAAACCGCGAAGGCTGATGAGTGAGGTGGCGCAAGGCGTTGGGACCCGAGGTTGAGATGACTTGGCTGTTTGTAGCTGATCTGCTTCGTGAGCCTCAGGTGGATGGACTGGTACGACACAGGTCCCGGTACATCACCCTGACCAAGGCTGAGTTTTCCCAAAGAGTGCAGGCACACAGGACCAAGTCCCGTGGCTGTGAGCAGGCCCTGGATGGTCAGTGCCAGCAGTGTCTCACACCAGCTCGATCACGTACCATACTAAGTTTATCTCCCCAACTACTCAGACATGACCAAGACTTGTGTTGCCGCTAGAATTTTAACGACGTGTGCAGCCAAGCTTTTTTCGGCAGCCTCTCCAAGAGGCCTCAGACACTTCGGCTTCAGATCATTAGAAGCAAGGCAGAAAAAGAAGCAGACCTGCAGCTGGGGGAACTTGGCCGAAAACACACTTGTGGCAAAGCTTCTTGTTTCCCTAGCGCCCTTGAGGCAGGTGGCAACTTCTGCAGAGCAGCTTCGGGTGCAGGAGGAGCATACGAACGTGTATGCTGCTTGTACGGTACACCAACCGTCCACTCCTGACAAGAACTGACAAGGACTCTATCCGGCTGGGCCTCCGTGGACGACTGCCACTGATGAAGGTGGAGCAGATTTTTTCGAGCAACAGCAGCAGATTAGCAACTCCTCCAGCGCTGGCAGAGGATTCCCTGTGCGCCCCACGCGTGGCGGTTTCCGGTGCGGCCTGACATGTCCTGACTTTCATGTACGAATGTATGGGCATGGGACCGGACCGAAGGTCGTCACACGCCAAGCTTTGCAGCAGCTCTCCGGGCTCTTCGCCGGCAGCCAAGCCATGGGATGCCACGGGCTGCCACAGGCTTCAGAAGTGCAAGATCCACTTCCACTGAAGGTAGAGAGGGTGCCATAGCGGCCCCAGCAGCAGCCCCGAGCAAAAATCGACGATTAGAATTACTTGGAAGAGAAATGAAGAGAATTGTTTGCAGGTGGACTCCTCATCTCACGACACTGAGGACTCGCATGAGAGACTGAGACATGCTGTCGTGGCTCCTTACTTTCTCTCAAAGGAGCTCACCGCGTTGTTCGCCGAAGCGCAGATCCAGCTAGCTGCCGGGAGCCTACGTCTCTTGTGGCGTCTCACGACCGGAGAAGTTGTGCAGGTGGTGGCGGATGCATCAAGCAGCGAAGCCAGCAGCGTCCAAGAGGCTCGTTGGATAGAGGGGAAGCTCTCCGAGATGTGGTTCTGAGGTAAGCATAGACCAGGTAAGCAGTCTGCTTCCAGGCCGCTCGACGGCTGGGTGCCAGCACTGTTTGTGCGGACGCCCTTTCTGTCGAAGGCTTTGGGACTCCGGCAAGTGTCTTGCCGGGTTCTAGAGTCTGAAGTTGTGTCAGGAATTTCGACACCTTCGCATGAAGGCTGGATGAGGTTGTCTCTCTTGAATTTTTGCGAAGAGATGCAGGCCAGCTGAGTCTTCCGGAGTCTTCCATTTTTCTCTTTGCCCGCGTCCCTTTCCTGTTGTCAACAGTAGGGTTTGAGAGTCTGTTAGCTGAGGCTCAATGCTCGACGCTAGGGTCAAGTGCGCCCAGGGCTGCTGAGGCGGATGTGAAGCGCACGATGCGATGGGAAGCTTGTAGCGAAGATGTGCAGGTTGACGGAGCTGCGCTCAACGCTCGCGGTGCGCTCAGGCTGAAAAGCACGGGCAGCTTTTGGTGCACATGTTACAAAAACTGACCAGAGCTGCAGGGGGAGCTTACGAGCCCAGTGCACGCTAGAATCAACATTCACACCTGCGTGCATGCAGTCTGAAGCCTGATTGCATGCGTGCTTCAGCTCGTGACATCTTTCTGGGGTTTGACAGCTGCATTTTCTGCCCTTTCTACGGCAAGCTCGCCCGCCTGCCCCTATGAAAGGGAGTGGTTGCGCTGCTGCACGCCCGGCTTGTTGATGGCCCCGCGCGGCCGTATGGGCAGCTGCGTGAGCGCTTCATGCTCTGCTGCAGCTGCAAGCCTTGGGGTGGATCTTGTGTGTCCGTTGGCGTAGATGGAAGTGTGTGTCCCAACGGGCTTTGCCCCGTGCTGGCTTCTTCTACTTGGTCTGCATTTGCTGGGCACTGCCTAAGGACATCAAGATCGATTCGATGCTCTCATGTCTAAGCTGATGTTCTTTCTTCATGTGTTGATCCCAGGAAGCTTGCCCAGACAAGCAGACGATGAATCTCTAAAACAAGAAGATGTTTCAAAGCAAACGCTGCACTGTCAGTGAGCATTGAAGTAAGCGTAGTAAATTAGGGACCAAGCTGTCGCAAAGTCAACAGAAATTGGATCCCTTTCCCTTTTTGTGACCTTACATTCTGCCGTTGGTGTGGGAGTGCGCGTGCAGGAATACTGAGAGCTGAAGCTCAGAGTGAATAGGTGAACTCATGACGTTCAAGGTTAGAAAGTTGAAGCAGTTGAAGCCATGGGGCCTGCAAAGAAGTGGAAGGCCTTGCGGGCCAAATTGTGATGAAGCACAGGATATGCGCAGGAACATGCATCGGCCAGCTCGTGCCCGCTGTAGCACAAGGGCTCGAGCTGAGCCAAATTTTCTTTATCATTCCTGCTGGCCATGGCGGCCTGTAGGGAGGCTGAAAGGCGGGCGGCGATTCAGGTCATTGAAGACATGACGTCTGGCTGCAGTGACTGCACCTTTGGCTACCATGAGTTGTTCGATGTGGCTTTTGAAGAGATTCGTCATACCCTCCTGGAGATCTGGCGCAGAGCCTCGCCGAGAGAGTGCCGTGTGATCGGTTCAGACTGCAAGCCTGGAACTAAGGGATGCCATCATGGGGGTAGCTGAGGCTACCTTTGATTTTCGATTCAGGTCCAGATGGCTTCTGGCACTGGTGCCTCACTTTGGGGGGGCCAGGTTCAGCCTGCGCAGTCTCTTGGCCGCGGCCGGATGCGCAGAGGACAGGACGGGCTTGGTTTTAGGTCGCCTCAGCGGTGACTGCTTGCTTGAGCACCACATGTCCATGCTTGGCTGACTTCACCTTAGTTTTGGGCTCATGGCCGCTCTCTTGTGGGAGGCGCTTAGAGCCAGGGGCCTGGGCGAATATGCCCCAGTTTTCGTTGACTGCCGGGTGTACTCACTTGAGGACATGCCGGCAAGGATGGATGACCTCGCAAGCGCGGGGGTCCCAAGGTGGGCTTTAGAGTTGGTGCTCCAGGGCCCAGGCAAGGCGGGGCGAGCGCCGGAGACGGAGGAGCCCAGACGGCGGGACATGCCGCAGCTTCCCAGGCATCATCGAGCCTCTTCGGTCCAGGCGTTCAATGCCGCGAGGCCTGAAAATCGAGATGCAGCTCTGCTTGCTTTAGAGGGCGGGACTCTGGCAAGTACTACTAGGCTGTCGAATGACTCTAGAGTACGGTTCTACGAACAGATATGCGCTGCCTGGAATGTGCAGCCTTGGCCCATCACAGTTTCTTCCATTCGCAGCTTTGGGGCCAGCCTCAAAGCAGGATCCTACCGCAGTGCCTCTGTTTACTTCGCAGCAGTCAGCGCGCGCCAGGTGAGGCATCTGGGCACACCAGTCGAGGACGTCATCCGACAGTGCATCCGAGACACTAGAAGATCCATTTTCCGTGGAGCAGGGGTGGCAGCTCTGAAGGCCAGCTTTCGGGTGGCCTGCTTGGTCGTGGATGAGCCCTTGCTGCCGTTCGACCTGGACAGCGCCGACAGCACGTGCGACATGATGATAATCATGTCTTGGTGGATGCTTCGTGAGTTGGAGGCAGCCTCGGCTATGTGCAGCCACCTGTGCCTCAATTGGACGCGCGTGGAGGTGACACTTTGGCTGCCGGTCAGCAAGACCGATATCAGGGGATCCATGGTTTCCCGGACATTGGCTTGCGCGTGCCAGATCCTGAAGCAGAAGCTTTGTCCTTTCCACGCTTGCCATCGGTACTTGCAAAGAGTCAAGCACCTCCTGGGCGCGGCCGGGTGCCAGGATGGACCCCTCTTCCCTGCAAGCTCGAGCCTGGAAGTGCCCGCCAAGGCCCAGATAGTGTCGGCGATGCGTCGCAGGCTTGGTGCCTGCGGCGTACAGCTTCACTTTGAGTTGGATGACGGACGCAGAATGGAGAAGTTCGGGGGGCACTGCGCTAGGGTGTCGGGGGCACAGTGGCTTCATGCGATGGGACTGCCTCTTCACATGATTCAGGCTTTGGGGCAGCAATTCAGCCCTCACCCTCAGGTAGGCCCCTAGCCCCACCCCAATCCAGCTTCGCCAGGAGATCACCGTCACGGACTTCGACCACGAGGTGATGGGCAGAGAAATTCAGGACTTCTGCTATAGCGTGCGGGCTCGGCGTGACTCATTTTTGGCACTTGAGCGCATGGATTAGGATGGCCACGTTCTTCTCACCACGGCCTGGTCTGACTTAGTGGGCGGTCTCCGAGCCATTACATGCCATGGCCTTGGCGCGCGCGAGTGCTCAAGGGGCTGTTGTCATTACAGGGGACCGGTTGCGCCCAGCGGGCGGGCAGCCAAGGCCTGGGACCAAGCGGGTCCGTCATATGAAGCCGCCGCAAGCCCGGAGAGCAGTTGAAAATTTCGGGTTTTCGGTCATGTGTGCGTGAGCCTCTCCTGCATGCCTCTGTCAGTTTGCACATGAGGAGCTTCAACAACTGATCGCTTCAGGTTGAGTCATGCCTTCAGTTTTGGGGCTCAGGGCCCATTCGATCCTCCCCTGCCAGGGTGTCAATCATGAGTGTGCCAACGCTGGCAGACTTGGGCAAGTGGGCCGGTGCGGGCCAGAAAGTCATGGACTATCTGCAGGCGCGTGGCATTCTCTCCACAGGCACCTTAGCAGCCACGGGCAAGGACTTCGAGGAACCATTGCTTGATGGGTACGAAGCTTCAGGCACCAAGTTCGCTCTGGAAAAGGACGACCAGCCCATCGCTCGAGCTGTGATGAAATATATATTCAACATGGCGTGTGAGGCCATGCTGCCTGCGTCCGCCAATCCTCCATCGACTCAGGCTCCGACTACATCGGCGACAACTGCGGGTACGGCCAAAGCACAAGCCTCGGACAAGCCTCCCAAAACATTGCCACCGAATGTTTGGACCGACTTGGTCAAAAAGTACAACAGCGTGTGCCTTGCTGGAGTTCCGAGGGAGTTCCCTGAACGGATGTTGATTGGATCAGAGACGATATTAGCCCGTGTCCACTGGGAACACACTTGTTCAAAGCTTTATTCTCCCGTTGAATTGGGAGAATTGCTCAGCAAATGCTCCTTTACTGCTACAGGAGAAGTCAATATGTTGGCAACTCGCAAACGGAAAGCCAGGTTGGAGTTCAACGAAGATGACGCGCTTGAAGCTGCGGAACCAGAACCTTGGGAACCACGAAGCCCTTGGTCCCATCACTGACAGTCTGGACTCGATCCGCTGGTGCTACGTCTTATTCGAGATTGGAGAAGAACGCCAGGTCCACAAGTACTTTGACGAGATGGTCAGGCGCGTCCGCTCCAAGTCACATCGTCTCGAGCAGTTCCGTGAGTATTACTCAGCAGCCAGCTGGACGCTTTGCGTGATGCTGCGGACTGGCAAGACTTTCCAGGAGGCCTCCGACTTCGTGCTCCAGGACATGGCGACTTGGAACGAGCACATGGCAAGGAGATCAAATCACCAGCCAAGCGTGAGCAGGAGTCCAACCGGGGTGCCAGAGGCCGCGGCAGGGGCAACAGAGTGGCAGTGGCAGCAATGGCAGACAGACAAGTAAGTGGCAGTATCACAACAAGCAAAAGGCCACGTCTTGGAAGTTCAACGCATCCAATGCCACCACTGAGTAGGGACAGCGCGGGGCCTTGTTGGCAGACAAGGTACCCGGCCTCAGCAGAGCCCGGGCGCAGCAGGCATGCACAGCCGACGGCCACCGAGGCGTCCGAGTGGCTGCCACTTCAGGGATCGTCCGCCACAGTGGTGCCTGGACATCCCTGAGGTCATCCTCCTGAGCTTCTTCGATGGCATGGGATCGGCCTCGCTCATCTCAAGTCACTGGGCGTACGTGTCAGGGCAAGCTTGAGTGGGAAATTGATCCAGCCGCGTTGCAAGTGTCAGCCAGGGCATGCCAGCGACATCGCAAGGTCAGGGGGGACTTCCTTCAGGAAGATGCCGCAGCTCTGGCCAAAGAGATCCAGGCCGCCCAAGGCGGTGACGAGTGCATTGTGTTGGCCACTGCAGAACCACCCTGCCCCGATTACTCACACATCAGGGGCGCGGACGCCCCAGGCAGGGGCGGACAGTCCGGGCAACTATTACTTCCTTTTTTAGGTGGAGCAGGCGTGCGGCAAGCAGTTCGCCATTTTGGTGGAGAACGTGGTGATGCAGTCCGCGGCAGACGCGTCTTGGTTCTCCCATCGCCTGCAATCCACTCCGGTCCTGGCAGACGCTGCTGACTTTGGTCTTGTTAGTCTACCCAGGCTTTTCTGGACGAGAGTGGGTTGGACATCCAGCACGAGTTGCCCTTACGACCCTGCGCAACCGCTCCGATGGGACAAGCGCCAGGGCTATAACAGGCTCCGCCCGCTGGTCAAGAGAAACAGATTGCCATGAAAGGCCGCAGCTCATTCCCTGCCTTACCACACCTGCGCCCACGGACTCTGGCAGGGATCCGCCTCGCAAGATGCGCGGCCCCATTGCACCAGAGCACCAGCGCCAATATGCACCGTGGGTGTATCAGGGCCACGCCTTGGTGTATGAGCAGTCTGGCGCTTGGCAGGTCGTTCCCGCGGAGGTCAAGGAGGCTTTGCGTCACTATCCTCAAGGGATTACGGCAGCACCCAAGGTGACGCCCAGGGACCGGCGCCGCTTGTGGGGCAATTTATGGCACATAGGCATTGCAAGGTACTTGATTGCCCTTGTCTTGCTCCATTGCATTGGAGCCAGTGCCTCGACTCACGTAGGCGGTCAGGGATCACCCTTCTCCGCTTGGCAGGCAGAGCAGTTCACGCCTCCGTAACGTTCCGGTTGCTAAGCACCTGCAGGACCATTCGGCCATTGACTTGCGGCCTTGTGAAGACATGTGGGAGCATTGGCAGCTCACTCAGGGCCTGCGGCGCCCGCTCCTCTGTGAACCCAGGTTGTCAGAGGCTCTGGAACGCACTTTGCAAGGCATGCAGGACTTGGGCAGTGACATTGCCGTTTTCCGAGCCAGTGCAGTTTCAGCCGTGCGGTCCATGAGGGAGCGCGTGCATGCATCCACCGCAGAGTGGTACAAATCGTTGCCCAGTCATGTTGCGTCAGCTTACACATATGACCACGGCAAGCAGATCGTGCAAATCCCACTCTTCATGACTTTGCTCTGAGGTTGCGGATATCCAGACGCCGACAGCCTCGAGGAGGATCTGCGCAGGGGTTTTCCGTTGATTGGGAAGTTGAAACATTCTCCAGGCTGGTACCCCCGCACAGATTCCTTGTATCAGCGTCCTATTTCTGAGGATACGTTTGCTTCCCTCAACATGGCACACATTCAGCAGAGAGCTCAACGGTGCAGGCCAGATGAGCACTGGCAAACCATGCTTCATGAGGTCTTGGAGGAATGCGCTCAGGGACGTATGGAGGGCCCATTCCAGGCTCCCACTCCTGGGGATTTCAGGCAGTGGCGCCGCGGGGCCACCCAGAGCTCCAGAGTTTGCTCGCGTTGCCTGAGGGCCCGCGTTACGGGGCCTTCGCATTCAGTGTTTGTCAGGAAGGCAGTGATGGCAGGCCTAAGGTGCGCAGGTGCGAGGATTACCGGCGCAGCCACCACAATGACACAATTCAGGTGACCGACAAACCACCCCATGACTGCGTTGATGCTTACGTGAGCCTGATTCGCAGATTTTCAAGGGCAGCTGGCAAGGTGTGCGTCTGGGGCCAGGACATGTGGGCGGCGTACCGCCAATATCCGATTCAACACCCCCAACATGCTTATCTCTTGCTGGTTTTGCCATGGGGGATCTCAGTGTGGCGGCACAGGGTCTTGACATTCGGGGTCACGGCCTCAGTGTGGCACTTTAACCGCGCTGAGGATGCCATCATCTGGCTGGCAAGATGTTTCCTCTTGATTCCATCTCTGCATTTTGTAGATGATGTTGGAGGGGCAGAATCTGTGGCTTCCGCTACTTCGGCTTGTGTCTCTTTCCGAGAGTTTTGTGAGCTTTTGGGTATTAGGGTCAAACCTTCTAAAGAACAGCTCCCAGCAGCGGTGCAGAAGTTGCTCGGGGTTTGGATAGCCGACCAGGGCGCCACTTTAGAGGTCAGACCGCACGAGGGCAGGCGCCGCCGCATGGTGCAGCTCATTCAGGAGATCCTGTCTTCAGATGCTTTGACTCCAGAGGTGGCTGCGAGATTGGCGGGCAAGCTCGGCTTCCTTCAAACATCCTTGTTCGGCAGCATGGGCAAGGCTTGCTTGGCTCCCATCCACGCAAGAGCGTCGGGCAATTCCAGCCAGGCCAACGCTCTCAATCAGGCCATTCGGGCGGCACTGACCACGATGCTCCGCATCCTTCACGAGCCGCTGGTGCTGTCAATACCCCTGCGGACGGAAGCCTCCTCGACTTCCATTGTGTATGCGGATGCATACTTTCTGCTGGGGGATCTCATGCAAAAGCCTGGCAGCGCTCCAGTGGGCAGGTGGCCGAACAAGGGAGCACAACAGCTTCGCAACGGTTGGGGATACGTGGTCAGACATGCCAACGGCGTGACCTTTGCCCACGGTGACGTCCCTCCACAAGTGGTGTCGCTTTACAGTTCTCGCAAGGCTTTCATTTATTTTCTTGAAATCCATGCACAAATCATTGCTCTGCTCTCGAACCGGGCATTGCTGGGTCAGTTTTGGATCAGCTTTATTGATAATCAGGCGGGTCGCAGTGCACTCCTTAAGGGATTCAGTAAAGAACCCGCAGTGAACAACCTGCTGTCGTTCTTCTGGTCTCTGGCCGCGAAGCTGGGATGGCACGGTTCCTTCCAGTACGTCATGAGCGACTGCAACATATCCGATCCGGTATCACGGGGAGATCTCACAATTCCTCGGCACTTGGGCTGGCGCGGCCTGCAGACTGGCTTGGAAGACTGGTGGCGTCTCATGATAGCCATTGCCTCAGACATGATCTTTGCTACTGGGGAGGCGGTTCAGCGTGCTTTGGACATGCAGTGGGAGTTCCAGTAGTGAGGAGGCACTCGCATAGTGGGGATGAGGCTGCGAGCGCGGCCGGATTGGCTGCAGCCCCATCCCACGAGCTCGGATGCATTGCGACTCGTTCTGGCATTCACTCAAGACTGCTCCACCGAGAAAAGGAGAGGTCTGCCCGTCGTGCTGTTGAGAAGCATGTTATGAAGCACAGGATGTGCGCAGGAACATGCATCGGCCAGCTCGTGCCCGCTGTAGCACAAGGGCTCGAGCTGAGCAAAATTTTCTTTATCCCATGCTCTGCCACCCTTTTGTTCCGGGGGAGTTGGGTCATGTACGTAGAGTCCTTCCGATTCGTGGGTGGGGCGGCCGGATTGGCTGCAGCCCCATCCCACGAGCTCGGATGCATTGCGACTCGTTCTGGCATTCACTCAAGACCGCTCCACCGAGAAAAGGAGAGGTCTGTCCGTCGTGCTGTTGAGAAGCATGTTCTTCAGCTCGTTCCGGTGGGGGTTCATAATGAGAATTTGAGTTCTGGGCCTCCGTCGGTTGTGGCTGGTGAATGTCACTACTCCCGAGGCATACTTTGAAGGCGCCTAGGTTTCGGGGCAAAGGGGACATGGTCCATCCTGGGGGATACTTTAGCACAAGGTATCAGGATGACGCATGGGAGGAAGGCCCGTTGGCTCGTGGAAGCTGGGGTTTGGGTAGTCTACACCGAGATGTCGATCGGTCTTTGGACAAGGTATTGATGGAGCGCCACATGGAGCAGTCAGGTGCAAGGCAAAAAGCGTAGATTTTCATTGCCGGGCCAGGGTGGGCGGTTCTAGCTATTAGTTCTCTGGGCCCCTGTCGAGGATAAGTTGAAATCCCGCATACGCAAGGCTAGGACTCAAGAACGGTCGAGAGACTTATCGCCTTTTGAGGTCCTTCCTCCCCCGGCACTTGACTGCTAAGCGGGCACCGAATTTAGGGGTGCACTTTTTGGGAAGGGGTGCGGCGCGCCCCTTGCTGGTCGATGATGTAGCCAAGATTGTGGCGCTTTTGGGGCGCCTTGTCGAGCCGAACTTTGATGCCGACCTCATTCTGGATTAGCCGAGCTTGGGAAATCGTTGGGAAAGGTTGGAGATGGGGGCTTCGAATGTAACGAGGCTGCGCCATTAGCAGACATCTTGCCCCCCTGGTCGAGCACCAAAGAAAGTCGGGTAACTTGACACAGCCTTCGCTCAAGCCACGTCGAGCCTTGCATTTACGGGGCAAAATTTCAAGCAAGCACGTTTCAGAAGCCATGCTAGCTTCTTCAGGCAGTACCTTGTCGCTACCTCGGGACCAAGCTGCTGTTATGCGCACTGGGTGCTTTGTTGTGGGTATCCGCAGAGGTTCCTGACACCCTCAGACCAGCAAAAGTTACTCTTGGCAACGCTTGTGCAGCAGCTGCAACCAACATAGTCAAAGAACCCGATTCGCAGCATCTGCCCTGGTGTCCTGAGTTCTGGCATCTTCTTATTCGGTGTCTCATCTTCTTAACTTCTGAAAGCTGGTATAATGTGGCCAGAGATCCGAGGTTCCGAGGGCAGGCATGCCGCAAAAGAATAGTTGTGGGAATTATGATTGGATGACCTCTTTGATCTTTCCACTGCCATCATGGATAGGTCTTTCGATTGCCAGCCCTAAAACCTCGAGATGTCAACAGATGCCAATCTGCAAGATCAGGCTGAGACTGGGGAGCGGAACCCTTACTGAGTTCGGATTTGGATGAGAAAATGATTCCTCGCGATTGGAAAGAAACCTGCAAAGGAAGCATCCTGCAACTGTGAGAGAGAAGCGTTTTTTTTGCATGCGCCGAGGTGTGTCCAGGTCGACGGCAGCATGGTCTTTCACTGGCGATGACACGGTGGTTTTGGCAAGTTTTCTGGCGGCGAGGTGTGAGGTTCTCTGCTAGTGGCAGGTTGTTTCTCTTGGGCTTGATGCTGGCTCCGCCGCAGCCGTGGTGGATGCCGTGGAGGTGGCGAAGCTGAGGAAATCGGATGAAGCTGAGCCAAAGTGCTTCCCACAACAAAGCCAACCGAGGCGCCGCTGGCTTCGGGTGCTGCCGTCCTCTGCTCTGCAGCGGAGTCGGTTTGGGCCTGGATCCCGGTTTTTTGTTTGGTTCCACAATTGTTGACCCCACGACCAGCGCCTTTAAGCTCAGGATTTGTGGTCGACCATTGATGAGGCCAAAGCAGCCTCAGTCGTATTTGTGAATTCAAAGTGTGGCCCTCACGTTGGAGCTCGTGTTTCTGCGCTTGAAGCGCCTGGAATTCAGGTGGTGCTGGAGCTTGGCGAGGAGCTACAACTCCTTAGCAGCTCCACTTAGGGAGAGCCTGCGGTCGCGCTTCCTTGAGAAGTGCTAGCCTGAGCTGTGCTGTGCAGAGCTGTCAGGCTAAACTCAGTCATTGTACTGTACTGTACTGCCGACTTAGATCACGCCATGCCATGTAAGCTTCGTCTCGGAAACATCGGGACACATTCAGGAACCTCAGTGCCACTCCCTGCTTTCCCGCCGAGGCCTTTCAGGCATTTCGTTGCCATTGCCCCTGCGGGCACCGTCCTCGCGGAGGAATCGTGAGCCCCAAGCCCAAAAACTCGCGAAGTTGCCTCCTGAAAGGAGTTGGCAGCTCTTTGGCACGAGATTTTCAATTGCTCGCTCACGTGGCATTTCAGCTGCGCTGAGGTGGGGACTTGATGCTTTGAACGCGCACTGTGGGCTGCAAAGTGCGACATGTTTGGTTGGTAAGTGTCTGTGCTGCTGGTGCTCATTCCCGAAACATCAGGCATAGGTGCCGATGCTTTCGCAAATTATCAGCATAGGTGGAGTGACATCGTTGATCGGAACTAGTAACTAGTCGTGCTTGCAGGCTCTGTAGGGACCTGGCAGAACAGAAGGCTCACAGACGAAGCCATGGCCTTCCCCATACTCTTTGGGGCGTTGCTGCTGTCAACCTCAGTCTGGATCCTGGAGGTGAAGACCTTGGTGAAGCATAGTGTTGAACTGTGCTGAAGACAGCCGAGGCGGTGGCTGCGGCATTCGGTTCTCAGTTGGCCGAGGCCTGCGATCTGCAGAAAATCGCAAGAAGCACCAAGCCACAAGTTCTTTTCTGGGAAGGTGCAGCTGCCCCCTCGCGGTGCCCCGCTTCAGGAGGCCGCGAGTTGCTGCATGTTTTTAAGAGCTTTTGAATCGCACCCATGGACGCAGTTGCCTCTCCTCCGCTCTTCAGATGGCGTGCTCAACTGCACGCTGAGGCGCAGAGAGATGCAGCAAGATACAGAGAGGTTCCATGTTGTTCCGTTGTTCGCCAGCTCATTTTTGCAAGGCTGCGGCCGGCCCGCGTCGTAGGCCAAAACATCAGTTGGGTGCTCAGCAGCTCTTGAGAGCCTCGCTGCAAAACATCAGCTTCGAGCCCATCGCCTGACTGCTTCGCATAATTTGCGGGAGTCCTCCTCACAAGGCTTATGCCAAGCCAGATGCGAGGTTCTTTTGATTGCAAACCTGCTTCATGGCATCGCCCAGGCTTCGTGACCCGGATCTACAACCACTTTATCCCGGGCCCTACCATCATGATCAAGCCTGGTGACAGGCCCGTCCATGTGGCACGCGAAGGGACGCGGCTAGCAACTAGCAAAAAGAAAAAGACTTGCGTAAAACAGCAGATTCAATGTAGTGGATGAGATTGCAGCTTGGAGGCTTTTGATCAACCTGCAGAACGATCTTCAGGCAGACTTCTTGCAAGAGATGTTTGCTTGTCTTGACCCCTGTCAACTATAGCCATTGTCCAAGTGAACGCATGCGGGATAGACAAATGGAACCAACAATGGCCAATTCAAACCGTAATGGGCGCAGAATAGCCAAATCGACCGAATCCATGAAAACAGCTGGGGAAACCGCTCGAAAGAGTTAGCAAGGCAGAAAGCAGCGAGGGAATAAAGCGCAATTGGCTCGGCTGAAGGAAGAAATGGGGAATTCTGAAATTAAGCTGAGCTCGTTGCTGGCATGTTGTGAAACGGCATGAATCAATCCTTGCGCATTCACGGCGAACTGGCCCATCCCCACTCCCTCATTTGTGGTGTAACGGTGTTACACTTCGCTTCAGGATCCTTTGGGCAACTTTGCGAGCCAGGTGCTTGGGTCGTCTTGTATCTGGCACGTGGATGTTGTGAAGTCATGTCACTTTGCATGCCTTGCTAAGATGACAAGTACCAGCTCCCCAACACCACCAACCTACATGTACATGGCTGGGTGCTTAGCATCCGTTGAATGCCTCGATACTGTTTCGATTCGACCATGACGTGGCATCTTTTTTCCTTTCCTGGCAAGATTTCCACTGTGTGAAGGACTGCATGTTTCGCCCAATGCCCCAGCGGATGATGTGTTTGGCACCGTGCTGGGTCCCGGCATGTCGTCTGTGTGACCTGCATGTTGCAAGCAAATTTTCCTCTCTTTCTGAGTGTGGCCTGATGTGAAGATCCTAGTGCATCTTATATTTATATGGCAAGAAGCTTTGTATATTTGTATTGCATTATGGTGGCCAGTTTGGGTCCAGGGACTTGATCAACTAGGCATGTCTTAACTTTCTCCCAGACGATATGAGAACATAAGGTATGATTACAAGATCATCTCAGATCACTCTCCCGGTACTTACTGGGCGCACCCTCATCATCACGGATCCAACGCCAGGTTCTCAGCACTCCGTGCAGGAAGATGGTAGATGTCACCTCCCAAACTTCAGCAGTGGATCTTACAATCCAGTCTAACAAACAGCGGCAAACCTGTTTGAAAGCTACAAAAGAAGGTGGACCTCGACCGTAATCCTGATATGCTTGTACAAATCCCCTAGAAAACCACATTTTTTTTGAGAATGCTGCAGTAAGGTCATGCAAGCAGGTGCAGGGGCTGCTTCGGTGCTGCTAGTGCAGGACCCAGCAGGCAACTTGTCTTTGACAGCTTGGGGTGGTTATTCCTTGACCAATTCCAACATATCTCCAAGGTGCATTTTTAGCCATACTTCTTGCAGAGCCTGCTGAGAGGCTTCCTCTCGCCTCAGCTGGAGGAGATGGCAGATCACAGCCTGATGTTGCAGACTGCCTGGCCTGTTACCGGACGACCCATCGTAACGCATGGTGCTGCTCTGCCATGAGGAATGTTCTCTTGTGATTTGTGACCTGATTGCTGCTGATGTGCTCTCTGCCAGGAATTTGCCACTACCTCTGCTCACGACAGCCGCGAAGGCCTCCGGCGACGAGCTCTTTCAGAGTTTTCCTAACCAAGACTTGTGGTTGGTGAACGGAGGGGTGCAGCCTGTTCTGACAGTGGCCTCGACAAAGTGGCATCGCTTGCGTTTGGTCATGGCCGGCGTGTCGAATTGGCTGTTCCTGGATTTTGGAAGCTGTGAAGTCGCCTTGCTTGCCAAAGACGGCATTTACATTGACGACTTCCCACGGTGGATATCTCGTGTTTCTTTGCCTCCCGGAGGACGTGCCGATCTGGTCTGCCGATGTAGTCCCGGCAATCATACCATAGCTTCTCTGGCCAGCCCAGGGAATGGAGTGAAGTCTTATATCGGGCCCCTCTTCTCCATCCGATCACTTTCAGCCGAAGGCTCTGCAGAGGACCTGGCACCCTGGCGCCCCCGCAGCCGACCGACGTACTTGCAGGACTTGCGTGGTGACCTGACCACGCCGGACTGTGCCTGTAAGACTCCGATGGGACAAGGGGCTCACACGCGGTGGATTGATGGCCACCTATTTGAGGGTGCCAAAAAGTATTTGCATCAGTGGCCCCGCGACGCAGTGGTGGAACGGGAGATTTCGGGAGTTGACAAGCACAGAAACTTGGATGCACATTGCAAAGTCGTCTTTTCGTTGGCATGCAGCGTGCGTCTGCTCTGGGCATCAGGCTTTCATCAGCACACATGGCCGTTTCAACTTCAAGGCACTCCCGCTGGCAATGACCCCTACTTCAAGGCGATGTGTCCAAGCTAGGCAACAGGCTGGTGCTCAAAGTTCCCCGCGCCAGGCAGGCGATTGGCACGACACTTACCAGAACGTGCTCGATGACAAGGTGGGAGGACATGGATTGAAAGCACAGATTTCATATCAGTTCTGAAAGGCGTCCGTTCGATTCAGCACCGTCGACTTTGCCGGTCCAGAAGTGGCAGCTGAGACTGAAGACTTGACGTTTCTGGCATGGGAAGCACTTAGTAGGAGCAAGGCTCTGCCTGGGATCTTTGGGTCAGACCTTCGTTGCCCTCCTCACAGCTATTCATTTTGTCAGACAGGTGCACTGCCACGCACTGGCTCATTCGGACCGTGGTTTGCAAGCGAGTGGAACCTCAGAACCTAGAGCATGACAGCATGATGGAATCGCAGGACCAAGGCATGATTGGCGCCGAGATTGTGTCAGGCGCCGCGCAGATTCTCAGGTTCTGAGCTTGGGTTGGTCATGCCGAACCCAGCTGCTGTGCTGCAGGTTACGGCCGTGAGGCCTGTCACTGTGATCTCCTTGGAGAGGCTCGCGATATCTTGAGCACAGGATGACACAAGAGGATCCCAGCAGAGCTAGACTCCAGGCGAAGCCTGTTAGCCTCGTTGCTGATGAACGCAGCAACGGTCCGAGTTGTTTTGTGCCCTTCCAGTCTTTGGAAGTCGCATCACGGCAATTCCATGCTAAGCTGCTAGGCCAGAGCCTGCTTCTGGTGCCCAGCCTCAGCAATCGGCGGAATCTGCAAGTCAGTTCTACTTCTCAGCTTCTAGGTGGCCGGGCTGCTCTTTGTGACCATGTTTGTGCTGTTAGCGGCGATGTTTCGGCAGGCTTTGGCTTTTGCACCCGTCGCGAACCTCGAACACATGCCTGACCACTACATGCCAGGTTGTCCGCGCGGCGCAGTCTGGATTGGCAGATACTCGTTACATCACTCTCTCTGAGGGACCTGAGAGTGCATGAACACGTTCCACCATGTTCCACCATATGGCGGACGTTCACGCATCCGTGTCCTTTGCCGGCCATGCATGCCGCATAGCTGTCCTCCCTGATGTTGTACAGGATAAGTTCCAGGGTCAGGCCATGCTGGCTGTGAAGACTCATTTTTGTTCAATTTTCAGCTGAGCTCCACCATGTCATGTTGACATGGCCTGGTAGTGCTGATGCCACAGGCAGGAGGGACTTCAAGCATGCAGATGTAAGTTTATGGTATGTTGAAGACGAGGAATTTGCCAAAGGGTAGAATCTGCAGCTTCGCGCTGGAAGCGCATCTCCGTACCCGCTGTGCTGCCTTGGTTTTTCGCTGCATCGTGCTGCGATTTTCGTCAAGCTATGGCCCCGTGCGGAAAAACTCTTTGCCGTTCACCAAATCCCGTTCAGTGGGCCATGACTGGCAGGCTGGGACCTTGTACACAGTGTCGGAGCAGGCAGCTGCCACAGCCGCCACAGCTGCCACACTTGGGATTTCACTTGAGATTGTGTTGCAGTGCCAGGGTGACACCCATGCTGGCCACTGTGCTGATGGACTGGAGTGGCGCACCGATGAAGGCCAGCTTTCGAGACACAAACGGAATCGCAGGCATTAGGGCAGGTGATGGCAGGTGCTGTCCCTTTCGCTGCAGGTGAGCTGCAAGTGAGGGGGGAGGGCATTTTCAAAGCTTACTATGGACGTTCTCGAAGTACCGGCGAGGTGGAAGTGCATGATATGTTTGACATCTCAAGCCGGAGACGGGTTCTGTGCTTGCAGGCCTTCAGCGAGGACTTCATGCACTCATTGCAAGAGAAGGTGCTAGCAAACTTTGCATGAGCCATCAAAATTGTAGGACGGCTTTTTCTGCAAGACTGGGCATCGAGCTCTGAACATCGAGGTGGGATTTACCATGTGGCGTGCTTGTTTCCCCAAAGCCAGCACCAACAGCACCAGGCTGACGTCTTGCTGCCGCTACCCTCGCAGAGCAACGGAGAGGAGAAGGTGCCACACCACCCCCGCCTTCCTGCAATTGCCTGGCGGATGCTCTTTGCCTCGAAGGAGATGTTGCAGCTTTTTTCAACCGCGCCGAACCAGGGCTCGGAAGGGCCCAGCTCACACTTTGCCGGGAATACTTCGTCCGAGAGCTGCAGCGTTTGCTTCTTGGTCAAAGTGTCCGCTTCCCTGTACGGTGCCAGGTTCGGCCAGATGCGTGCCGACTGGAAAATCAAGAAAGTTCCATTGAAAAGATATCCGCTGTGGGTTGTGCTGGGCTTATCTTTCCTTTGGTGCATTGCTGTGTCTTTGTGCAATGCCCCATGCAGCCCCATTCCCATGGCCACCTAGACAAATTGGGGCGCCGTCCTTGCTACGAAGAAGCACAATCCTGGCAAGAAGGCGCATGCAATCACGTTGTCCTAGCAAAGACTGAGAGATGCGAATGGTAGATTTTTGTTTCATCTTATTGTGGAAGTTCGTGTGTTTGACTTGACGCTTGAATGTTGCGGCTCGTTTGCAATCCCTGAGGGGTTGCACAGGTCACAGTGGTGTGCTCTTGCATGAGGTTGCAAGCCTTCCCTGACGAATCATTCAATCTACAATCTTCATCGGCCTCCCTCCCTCTGTCCCTTTTTGTACGAGGCAAGAAGATCGACCCCAGGATTTCTCTGGCCCTCTCTGTTCTTCATGCCAGGTTTACCGTAGCAAGTACTACAAGTGATGCGGTAGAACTCGAACTTGATCGAGGCCCGTGGCGCGAGTGGAAAACACCGACATCCTGAGCTTGCTTGCCTGTGCACATGCTTCTGCAAGTTTCCAAGACGTGAATGAGCATCCCGCATTTGGCTCATTTGGCTCATGTTGCGGGGTCAAAGTCTGAACGCGCAGCTAGTTTCTGGGCAGCAGTGGCATCTGCCACGCCCCAGGCTTCCAGGGTGACTCGTGAGTCGGTTCCGGCTGAACATGCAAGTTAATTGAGGGACATACGGACTTGTATTCTGCCACCAACTCTGCTGGAATCACAAACATGCGTTCGAGCTGAGCGTGGTCTTGAATCATCTGCTTTGTAGCTGGACCAAGGTGGACGTTTTCGAAATGAGAGCCCTCCTAGGCGCGGGGCCGGTGAAGTGCTGTGTCACGGGTTTGCAGGATGATCAGGGCAGGTCAGGGAACATATGACCATCCAATTCATGGGTGAAAGCTTGGCTTTTAGCATCTGTGGATCATGCCACATCTGAACAGCTAATTGCACAGAAGCTTCTGGACAGCCGGCGCTGAGCCATGCCCACGCAGAAAACAAACAAGCAGCAATGATAACATCACATTCACCCGTTTTGGGCAGACACGTTTCCATGGAAAAGCCATCCGAGCCTGACCAACATGCGTTGTGGGTGGAAAACATGATCCTTTGGCAGCATTGGCAGAGTAGCTCGTCTTCCAGGCAGCCCCTCAGGAAGTGAAGACAGCTGATCTTAGCTGAGGATACGATCTGGTCTAGAAACGATGTGCATCGAGCACTTGAAGGACGATCACTTCATCCTGTCGCCACATCCCCTGGAAGCCACAACCAGATACCTACTGGCTTTTGACTCCAAAACGCCTCTTGGCTGCAGCCCTCGCGAACACGACAGGGACCGGGCTTCAACATGACAGGGCTTTGGGCATGGTATTTGTGTCGGCGTATAGGAACTCTGAACAACGTGATGTTGGCATGTTGCTTGTAGCAATCCTTGGTGAGGTTCAGGTTTGGACCCCATTTTGCAGATTTTTCGGGCTCTTCCTTAGCGAGTTTTCGGACAAAACTGGAGACAGCCAGCTGAGGTGTTCATCGGCTGACTGTTGGAGTCTGTGGGGATCTGGAGTCGCTGCGTATGTGGATTACTTGGGAGCCTCGATGAGCATAAGGTTTCCATCCAACTCGGGGGGGGATAGAGCACTTCTGCAGGGACCACACGTGTTCATCAGAAATAGTTCAGAGGCTCTGGATCTGGCAGCGTCTACGATATCCCGGCGCACTTCCACACGTCCTTGGACTCTATAGTCAAGCAGCTTCTGCGCTCTGTCCAGGAGCCTGCGCATGCTACGAACACTTGGCTGCTTTTGCGGACTTTGAAGCACCAAAGTGTGCGAGGAGACTTCTCGCGCGTTGCGGAAGACTACGCATGCGTTTGTTTTGAGCAGTCCCAAAGACCTGGACCGCGAGATCAAGGATTTATTTCTAGAACCTGAGTTTGAGGTGTTGCGACAAAGCGAGCATGCTCTCTTGTGTTGAGGCAGACTGCCCGGTTGTTGACAGGAGGCATCGCTGGACGATGCTCAAGCAGCTGCCGAGCAGCTGTTGGCGGAGTCCCAGCTCAGAGCCTGGGGTTGAAAGGTAGACTTGCTGTGCGAAGAGATATTAAGACATGCTCAGAGCTGTTGCTGCTGTGAGGTGGCCCGCCAGAAGCATGGCAGCTTCCTGCAGGGCCTCACGAGCGCCTGCTTCAAGAGCTTGCCTTGCTGGAGGTGAACAAGACGTGACCAACTCCGCTTCCACGTATTGCATGGCTTGCATGGCTTGCAAGGAGCAAGTGAAGGATGGCCTGGCTCTGCGCGAGATCGAAGCCCAGGCTGGCCGGGGAAATTGATGGGAGTTCGAAGTTCGAAGTGACTGGAAGTGTTCGCCTTGCAAGGCCGAGGTGGTTGCTGAGGCGCTTGCCGGCCAGCTGGATGGAAAGGACTGGGAGGAGTGTTCAGACCGCAAACAAGTCGTAAGCTTAAGAAACCAAGCTAGGGCATCGGCTCCTCAACCGAGGTTGTATGCTGACGCATCCACCGCCTTTGGCGAGACAGCTACCTTCCGTTCCACCTTCCGCGACACTTTCAGAGACACGGGCACGTTCCGTGACACTGGTGGTTTCAGAGACACAGGACGGATGCTTGCGGTTGCCCGGATGCAGCAGGCATTGCCATCCTTAGCATTTGCCAGGTTTCAGCTTCGGGTCCACATGGTCACTGGAGGCATCGCCCAAGGCCTGGCTTTCTTCGCGAACCCAGAGTGATCCTGAGGGATTTTGCGAACAAGGCACCCAAGGCACCGGACATCTTGGAACAAATCCTGGCTGAGCACAAGCTGCCTGAGTCCATGCAGCAGGATGTCTAGGGCTGATTCGCAAGCTGATGGATCTTGATTTTTCATTTTCTTGATCCAGGAGCTGGATGAGTTCGTAGATGAAATGGAGGCTAAGAACCTGGCCGCAGAGGAGCGGATTGGCTTGCTGTCCGTCATGCCGCTCGACCTGCTCAAGCCTGCATTTTGCAAATAGCTGCGAGACACCTCGATGTCCCAAGGCGAAAGACCAGCACTTTCCGGCATGATGCGGACCATCACCGGAGCCATGTTCGGGTGAGCGTTCCGGCTTGCTAAAACTCCGCATGGCTGCACGTAAGGCGCCGCTTGCACCCGACAAGAGAGGCGTCGCAGCAAAATCTTCAGTTGACCTTGGAGCCTTGCCTTACCTACTTTTCTGCCCTGCTGTGTCAGCCCGAGCAGCCCATGCGACAAAGTCGCCACGGAGCTGCGTCTTGATCTCAGGGTTTTTCCAGGCTAGCAAAAGCTGCCTTCAGAGATGCAGAGAGCACCAGCATCTGACCCTGGGATCGGGCTGCGCTTGTATTATGGGATGGTTATTCGTTTGGGGCTGCGCGGGCCCCCTGCACATCGAAGTATGTGTTCAGATGTGTTCAGTATGTGTTCAGTTTGCTCAGGTCTGAGACGACCAGTAGGTCAACCTGCAAAATAGTTCTGCAGAACAAAAACGGCTCAACAGTTCTGCTACTTGGATCTGTTTGTTCACAGCATGATCCAACTGGGAATCTCCGCCAGGAGCATCACTGGCTCTGGTGGCCAATGCTGTGAGCAACCAGGCCTTTGCAAATGACTGGACGGGTGCGAGCCTGGCAAAGCTGGCTGCGGCGAGGCCTCTGTACCAGCGCAGCCGGCGACCCCTGCGAGTCCAGCGACTTCTGCAACGCCAGTCACAGGGGCTATGCCTGATGTGGGGAGCCCGGCCTTTGGGATGTTCTGGGTCTTGTGGAGAGACGTCAACCCCATGCAGCCTTGAACGTGCGCCGACGGACTGTCGCTAGTCCAATTTGGAAAAGTTGACTTGTAGGAGAAGCCGGGCAGGGACAGCAAAACAACAGGCCGTCAAGTGAATCATTCAGCTACCAGGCAAACTTGCAGCAAGCAGAGCTGGCCAACCACATCGGCGGCATCTACAGGCTATGTTTTTTGTAGGGTCACTTCTCTTTCAAAGTGCAGCAACCAAGCATCATCAAAATATGATGAAGGTCGATGTACGCCCCTGGCGTGCCGGTGCTCCTGCCAGGGTTTGAGATGAGGGAAGGAACTGCTGTGCTGCGTCCATGGAGTCTACCGTGCTAACTGTCATTGCAGACTCATAGGCCCCGAGAACGGTCATGCTGTGCGGAAACCACACCGCTTTTTTCTTGCGGCAAGAAGATGGAGACGCAGTGCAATCTGCATCGGCAATGAGGGTTTCTGATTTCTTTGACTAACGGCAAACCAGATGCTACCAAGCCATGACAGGCGATGGCACCCATGCAGGGCGCTATGCCACAGCAGGGCCCTGCCAGTGCCTTTCATTGTGATGATTCTTGATGCATGTGGGTCTGCTGCATTTGCCCAGGTTGCTCCAGCCATGGGCGGCATGCCGGGCATGGGCGGGTCCGCTCCACAACAAGAGAAAAGAGATGTTCTATTCCTATTTCCTTATTCTCCGTTGCTGATGTCTGATGCTGGTGATGATGTTCAATGCTTGAAATTTATTCGTGTTCAGTGGAGGGTTGAGATCTGCATTTTTTGTCTGGCTTCTGGCTGCTCAGCTGCCTGAGGATGTACGGCGGCTCCTACGGGCCAATGGGCACCAACGTGGGTCAGGTGCAGCCAAAATTGAGCCATGGGCGCTGTGCGATTTTTCTCACTCAAGGCCTACGGCGGTGCTTTTGGTGGCTCGGCCGCGGAAGCACGGAACTCAGCTGACCTCAACTTGAAACTTCTGTTTTCCATAATCTATGATGAGCAACCACTGGGTCATGTCTCAAGTCGTTGATGCTGTCGAAGGTCCAAACATCGCAGTCCCAGCTGGCAAATCAGCTCGGACAGTTCTATCGGTCTTATGCCCAGTGGGTTGCGCAGTGGCGTGACTGACGCAACCTCAGGCTTTTTGAAGTTCTGATGTGATCCCCAGGGCCCAGTTCCTGCCTCCTGGCGTCGAATCGCAAGTGGCAGCTCAGCAGGCAGCCCAAGAGGCAGAAACCAGACCATTAGAAGCGAGAGAAGCGAGAGGGAATCTGTCACTTGCAAATTGTAGGCTGCGATGGCTGCCCAGCAGGCGGGGCCCACACCAAGAGCATCCCGCAAAGACAGTTTGTAGGGGTCGTGCAGGTTCTTAGGGTGGCCGCATGCTGCGATAGCCGCTCTCATACAGCCTTCGCCCTTTGAGCCGCCAAGGCTGCAAACCCAAACAGAAGAAAACACAAAGCTGATGGAACTAGCTTTGGGAGGGGAGGGGCTGTGGTGTTGGGCTCGACCGATAAGATCTGTGAATTCGTTGTCCCCTGTTTAACATTGTTTAACATCAGTCGTTGCGTTGCAGATTATGTGGCTGCATTGTCCTCAATTTCTGATTCTGAATCTTTTCATTGTACTACTTTATTGCGAAAGCTTCTCTGAGCTTTCGTCTGAGTCCAGCTTTTTGATCTGTACTAAGGGGCTGTGGGGGAGAGGAAACCATTGCAAATGGTCAAAGTTGGCCGTGTCTCGCGGGCCAGACCCAGCGGCAGGAGGGTTTTTTTGGGGGTGTCTTAATGGGCCTTGAAAATGGGCATGATGAGGGGTCTGTTGTGATGCGGTTTCGGGGTGCGGCCGTGGAGGCTGTTTGGGATGCCAGATGGCAGTTTTTTAGGCGCGTTGGAAGCCGTTCTTGGGCACGTGCAGGGGCCTATCGTGCTCCGCCGCTTCATGAAAAATGCACGTGCCAGTTTGCGCCCTGCTACTAAGCTTTCGTCCCACCTCCCCCGTGGGCGCAGTCAAGCCCCCAATGCTGCTTGAACACCCAAGCAGCATTGCCTTGCTGTTGTGAAGTCTTCCCTTGTCTCAGATTTCTGAGTGTGGCGCACTCCGCTGCCGATGGCAAAAAAAGGTGATGCTGGTGGCGCCACTTGGCCTGTTCGCCCAAACTGTCTGCCACCCTGCTTTGCAAGAATCAAAGCCTGAATGAAAGGGATGTCTGCCTTTCAGGCTTCCTGGCGTAAGATTAGTGGTTTCATTTTATTATCCACTGTCCCAGTATTACCCCAATATATGCCCTATTATACTACAGTAGCTTCAACTTTCTTTTCCATTATTCTAATACAGCAACCCCAATAAGATGTAATAATCCCAATGATAGTGGTTTCCATTCATTTTCCATTTGATTTTCCAGTATCCCTACATAACCCCTATTGTACCCTATAATCCTTTTTTATCCCAATATACTATAGTGGCTTTGATTTTCTCTTCCATTATCCCAATATAACCCCAATATACCATTTTGGTTGGCCATGTTGGCCAAGCAGCGAAGTTCGGCAGGCGGAGCAGCCCGCGCAGCAGGTGCCTTGCCATCCGTGTACGCGGAGTTTCTACTCTTCTACGGTTGCAGTCGCAGCTAATGGCATCAACGGCCCAATCACAACAGTCTTCTGTGATGTTGGAGGAACCCAAAATTATTCCCAGAAGCTTGCTCTTTTAAAGAAGAGTTCTCATTCACTTTAATCATCTTTCTATAGTTGTTATGTCAAGTCGAGAGGTAGGAGCAGGTACGCTGCCCCTGAAAATCAGTGCACAGGCCAAGCAGAGCGAGCAGCAGAGCAAGGGCCAGGCAGAGGGTCCCTGTGTGAAAGCTCGCTTTCTGCCGTGTCTGTCTTGTCTGCCTTGTGCCCCTGCGTAGATATGGTACCATTGCTACTGGAAGATTTTTTTTTGCCTTGCTGCATAGCCAGGCTGCGACAAAGGGAGCGCCACAGGCATAGTGCCTTTTTGTGTGAGGTTGATCCGACTGCGTGAAAGTACAAGCTTGCCAGATGCTGGCAGCTTCCCCTCCTGCTGCGCCAGGGACAGAGTCTGCCACTGAGCATCGGCAGCTTGGGATGTGCATGTGAAAATAGGAAGGTCTGAGAGCTCCGTTCACTCTCACCTGGTTTGACAGAGCAGTGCAAAACCAACTGAGCTGCGCAGCTCAGGCCCTCAGCTAGTCCGAACGATGCTACCGAAACCTGGTTTGAACGGTCAGGCAATGAGGTTGGCGATGAGCAAGCTCTTTGGCACTCACTTAGGATTGCCAGACTATGGATCAGTTGGATGCCTGGTACAAAGCCAGGCCTGGGCCCAACTCGACTGGACTTATTTGAGTGCAACATCCAGTTGTCAAGAGCCCATCTGTCACTGGTAGGTCCGACCAGTTGAAGAAGTACGTGCCAAAGGAGGGCCGGGCAGTTCGTTTTTGCCTCTGCTGCTGAAGTTCTTGAGTCTGAGGAGTACCAGAAGTTTGCGCTCAAGTCGATCGACAGCGAGTACCCAAGACTTTTGGGCTCTCCTGCTGGATACCGGCTGGGATGAACTTAGGCCAGTATGAGAGCAACAAGGAGAGGATCCAGGGTTCTGTCCCAAGAGTGCAGCAGCAATCGCCCAGCCTGGGCAGCAATTGATGTGCTTGCAAGCTGCATCAGCGCGTCGGACTACGGTGATGGTGACGACAGCCATGGTGGTGATGCTTCTGTTATGGGTTGTGTCATATTAGTTCTTTCCGCTAGATGTCTTTCTTGATGTTCCGCATATTCGCGGAATGTCAAGACTTCAGCAGTTGAGTTCAAGAACATGTTGGGATCCTTCAGGCGGCGGCCAGGCCTGGCATTTGCTTTTAGTGACGGTTCTTCCTTTTGCTGCTCCAATCTCCAATGCTCAAACTCTGAGGAATTTGATTTTGTTGTCACATTAACCATCTATATTACTATCATTATTACTATTACTATTACTATTACTATTACTATTACTATTACTATTATTATTATTACTACTACTATCTTTAGTACTATTATTATTACTATTATTAATACTTATTTGGCTCTGAAGCGGCCTTGGGTAGCTGCCATTCCGGATATTGCGACATGGGTCCAAGCAGAGCGCAGCGTCGGAAGGCGGCATGCTCCTACTCCTATAGTAGTTTCCATTTTATCTTCCATTATCCCAATATAGTCCCTGTATAACCCCAATATGCTTAAACCTTATAACACTATTTCCGCGCTTTAAGGGTCTGAGGCGGCATGCATTTTGGGATCGTGCTGTGTGTAGTTCCCAAAATTAGG